CACGGGGCTTAGTAACTTGTTCAAGATCACGCAGCGGAGGTGTATAAATATTTATGTGCATGTGTGTGCACTTTTTCCTACCTGTACTCTACGCATTTCGGAATCTGTTTTTTGTTTTTAATGAGACATACTCGACATATAACATTATATTAGTTTTGGGTGTACAACATAATGATCTGACATTTGTGTGCACTGCTACGTGATCACCACAGTAAGTCTAGCTCACATCCCTTGCGGTAAAATAGTTATAAATTTCTTTTCAAATTGTCTCAAGAGTTTTTAAGGTCTGTTCCCTTAGCAACTTTCAGTATACAATACGGTGTCATTAACTGAAGTCTCCATGGTGGACATTACATCCCCGGGACTTATTTATTCATTTTTAAGATTTTAATCATTTGAGAGAGAGTGTGTACATAAGTGGGAGGAGGGGCCGAGGGAGAGGGAGAAGCAGACTCCCCGCTGAGCATGCAGCCCAACGCGGGGCTCGATCCCAGGATCCTGATATCATGACCTGAGCCAAAGTCAGATGCTTAACTGACGGAACCACCCAAGTGCCCCTCCAGGACTTGTTTATTTTATAACTAGAAGTTTGTACCTCTTGACCCCTTTCACCCATTTCACCCGCCTGCCACTCCTCACCTTTGGCAACCACCAGTCTGTTCTCTGTATCTGTGAGCTTTTTTTCTAGATTGCACGTGTGAGGTGACATGGTATTTGTCTTTGACTTATTTCTCTTAGCATAATGCCCTCGGGGTTCATCCATGTTGTAGCATATGGCAAGGTTTCCTTCTGTTTTATGGCTGAACAATATTCCTCACAATTTTTTTAATCCATTCATCCATGGACAGACACTTAGGGTGCTTTCATTCCTTGGCTTTTGTAAATAATGCTGCAATAAACATGTGGGCACAGGTATCTTTTCGAGTTAGCGTTTTTGTTTCCTTCAGAGAAATTACCCAAAAGTGATATTTCTGGATCTCCTAAAAAAAAAAAAAAAAAAAAGGAATCTCCTTACTGTTTTTTTTTTCCATAAAGGCTGCACCAGTTTACATTTCTACTGATAGGGCACAGGGGTTCCTTTTTCCCTGCATCCTTGCCAACACTTATTATTCCTTGTTTTTTGTTTTGGTTTTTTTTCTTTTTTTTTAAAGATTTTATTTATTTATTCATGAGAGACACAGAGAGACAGACATAGGCAGAGACAGAAGCAGGCTCTCTCTGCAGGGAGCCCAATGTGGGACTTGATCCTGGATCCCAGGATCACTCCCTGAGCCAAAGGCAGAGGCTCAACCCCTGAGCCACCCAGGTGTCCCTGTTTTGTTTTTTTCTTATAACGGTCATTCTAACAGATGTGAGGGGATACCTCATGTGATTCTGATCTGCATTTCCCTGGTGATTAGTGATGTTATGATCTGGATCATATACCTGTTGGCCATCTGTGTGTGTCTTCTTTGGGAAAATGTCAATTCAGACCCTCTGCCCATTTTTTAGTTGGGCTCTTTTACTTATCTATTTTTCGCTACTGAGTTGGAAGAGTCCTTTGTATATTTTGGATATTGACCCCTGAGCAGATAAATGATTTGGAGATATTTCCTCTATGCAGTAGGTTGTCTTTTCGTGTTGTTGATGGTTTCCTTTGCTGTGCAGAAGGCTTTTATTGTGATGTAATATCACTTGTTATTTTTGCTTTTCATCTTTTAAGCAACTTTGGGGGGCTCCATACAAATTTTAGGATTGTTCTGTTGTTGTTGTTGTTGTTTTCGAAGGATGGTACTGGAATTTTGATAGGGCTTGCATTACATCTGTAGATTGCTCTGGGTAGTATGGACATTTTATATGAATTCTTCCACTCTGTGAGCATGGGATACCTTTGCATTAATTCGTGTCTCCTTCAGTGTATTTCATGAAGGTCTTGTAGTTTTTAGAGTATAAGGTCTTTTACCTCCTCAGTTAAATTTATTCCTAGGTATTTTATTCTTTTCTGATGTGATTTATAAATGGGATTGTTTTCTTAATTTCTCTTTCTCATAGTTTATTGTTAATGTGTAGAAATTCAACAAATTTTTGTATATTGATTTTGTCTCCTACAACTTTACTCAACTCATTTATTAGTTCTAAGAGTTTTTTGATGGAGTCTTTAGGGTTCTCTCTATATAATGGGTCATTGGCAAATAGGAGCAATTTTACTTCTTCCGTTACAAGTGGGTTGCCTTTTATTTCTCTTTCTTGCCTAAGTGCTCTGGCTGGGAGCATATAGTATTCTATATTGGATAAAAGTGGCAAGAGTGGGCATCCCTGACTTGTTCCTGATCCGAGAGGAAAAGCTTTCCACTTTGCCCTGTTGAGTGTGGCTTTAGCTGCGAACTTGTCGTAGATGGCCTTTATTATGTACAGGGGGCATGTATATCCCCAGTTTGTTGAGAGGTTTTTTTTTCCTTTTATCATAAATGAGTGTTGAATTTTGTCAAATGCTTTTTCTGCATCTATTTTTATCCTTCACCTTGTTCGTGTGGCATATCCCATCGACTTGCAAATGTTGAACCATCCTTGCATCCTGAAGAAAAATCCCATTTGATCTTGGTGTGTGATCCTTTTAATGTACTGCTGAATTCGGTTAATATTCTGTTGAGGGTTTTTGCATCTGTGTTCATCGGAGATATTGGCCTGTAATTTCCCTTTTCTTGTGGTATCTTTGTCTGGTTTTGATATCAGGGGCATACTGGCCTCAGAAATATGTTTGGAAGTGTTCCCTCCTCCTCTGACTTTTCCGAAGAGTTTGAAAGGGATTGGTATTAATTCCTCTTTAAAAATTTGGTGGAACTCACCAGTGAAGCCATCTGGTCCTGGACTTTTGTTTGTTGGGAGGTTTTGGATCACAGATTCAATCTCCTTACTAGTAATCAGTCCTGTTCATATTTTCTGTTTCTTCATCATTCAGTCTTCATAGGTTGTGTGTTTGTAGCAAATTATCTGTTTCCTCTAAGTTGTTCGATTTGTTGGCATATAATTGTTTATAGTAATCTCATATGATCTCTGCATTTCTGTGGTCCTGAATGTGTCTTTTTTCCACTTATCATTATATCATACACGTTCCCCATAATACTACAAATTCTTATTATTCATTATTTCAATAGCTGCATAGTACACCAAAATTTATGTACCGTCTTCCCTAATTCATGCACAGCTAAGTGTCTCCGACCTTTCCCCCCGCCCTGAATTATAAGCAGAATGCTTATAACAGGGTCAGTTGTTGGAAGTGAAGTCAGTGTGTCAGTGGGTATGAGCTGTCACACTGCTTCCCAGAAGGACCATACCAATTCATGCTTCTATCAGCACGTGACAAAGCCCCCCACCATAGATTAGTTGACATCGCCTGTTGACATTTCATTATTTTCTTTGGGATGCATTTGACATAGTATGAGACTCAACACTTTAACCATTTTCAGAGGTTTTTGGTATATTTACAATGTCATGCAACTATCACCTTTACTGAATTCCAGAACATTTTCTTCATCGCAAGAAGAACCCTAGTACCCATCAGTTGCCACTCCAGCTCCTGTCGACCACTAAGCTGCTTTTGGTCTCTCTATAGATGTGCCTATTCTGGACATTTCACATAAATAGAACCATACTATATTTGTTTCTTTTTAAATGTCTGCCGATTTAACGGATGGTATCTAGCTTTGTGGTAAGCAAATACATTGAGCATTTGTTTATGATTTACATATTTATTCTTTGGTGAATTGTTTGTTCAAGTTCTTTTGCCGTATTACTTTTAGGACCTTAATGTTTTTATTGATCTGTTTGAACTCTTTATATATTAAGGCTAATAACTCTTTGACTATCACATTTGCAATAATATTCTTCTGCACCAAAATATTTTACTGCAGGTATTAAAGTGGATGATAAAGAGGCACCCTTAATATGAAAAGAAGTCACAAAAGACATTGGAGAGCCGCAGGAGGGTTTGGGCAGATGGTGAGGGGGCTCTGCCTAATGGCACAAGATGAGGGCTGAATTTCTTGGTGAGCCCCCCTAAGGGGTTGTCTGTGTGCAGCCCCCAGGGAGTTCCTTCAGCGCCAACTAGTTCAGGCACAGATTTGGCCACCTCCCCAAATCCCTGTTCAGGTGGCTGCTAGTTAGGGCCCTGGGGCCAGCCCTGCTTTGAGAAGCAGGAATGACCTGGGTATCAAGGGATGCCTTTTAGATTTGTGCTGGCCTCCCCCTTCCCTGGCCTTCCCCTCCAGTCTGTGCCCTCCAGGCCCTGAGGGAAATCAGTACAGAGGCTTTGGGAGTGAGTGTGGCTCAGCAGTCTGGAGCATGCAGCCATGCATGGAAGATGGGCCCATAGGCCCGGTGTTCAGAAACTAGCCAAGCAGAGGTGGTTCCTACAATGCAACGTAGGAAGTTAACAGGCCCGAGGAAAAGTGGGGCTAATGGGAAGAAAATATAAAAGGCCACAGAACAGCAGTCTCACTGTGAATACACACATGTTCTGGAGAGTAGCAAATATCAACAATAATTTGACACTTGGTTGAATGTACTTATTATTTTGTTTAAAGAACTATATCACCCCTGCCCCTGCTGCCTATTAAGGGTTCTGGGGATTAAGGGTGTGGGGGGGATTATAACATAATCGTGGCATTTTTGGAAACTGAAAAGCAGAACCAATTTTATCACTCTGCCAGGTGCAAAATGTCGTATGGGGACTAATTGTTTCTCCCAATGAAATCAGTGACTATTAAATTTGACAGGGAAGGGGACAGATTGCTCCCCGGACCCCTCGAGATTGTAGGCAAAAATCTTGCGCGCGCGTGTGTGTGCATGTGCAAGTATGCACCTTCCAGTGGAGAAAGTTCATCCCTTTGTCATGTTCTCAGAGGGTTCTTGACCCCAAAATGGTCCACAGCCGGGGCCTGTAGGTTATCAGTGGGGGGCAGTGTCCCCAAAGCAGGGCCTGCTAATTGTCCCTCGGGATTAATGTCGCCTTGTGTTTGCAGTGCTGGTGAAGGGCCAGGTCACCACCAAGTACTACCGGCTGCTGTCCAAGCTGGGCGGCTGGGTGTGGGTGCAGAGCTATGCCACCATCGTTCACAACAGCCGCTCGTCCCGGCCGCACTGCATCGTGAGTGTCAATTATGTCCTCACGTAAGTCAGACGTATTTGTTTCCTTGCTCTCCCCTCCTCCCCTGACCCTCATAAGCCCATTCCCACAAGCACCATCTCTCTCTCTGTCTCTCTCTCTCTCTGAAACTGTTCATTTGTCTCCTGTTTTGTTTTTATTCGAACAACCTGTTCGTTTGGGAAGGTCCAAACTATTCCTGTTCTCAGCACTGAGAGCCAGGCGCCAGGCAGTGGTGGCAACATGAGAAAGGGAGCCCTGCCCCTGGCACAGCTGAAGATCAGATCACAGAGACCAGCGGAGGGGTGTGGGTGGGCAGGGGGCAGTGGGAAGATGCTCGCCCCCCCCCCACATCTTGCGTAGGATGCACAGGCAATGTCCCTCCCGGACCGGGAATATGAATCTACGCTCTTGGTGTCCCCAAACATCAGGGTCATCTTGCATGCTCCTGCCATTTGGAACAGGAGATCCTTCACATTCCCCACCACCCCCCTCCGTCTTTCCATACAGCCTGTTGCAAGTGGTATCAAAGTCTGGCCCCTTTAGGGTCCCAGAAGGTCAAGTTCAGTTGCGAATACTTTTAAGACCATCAGGCACAAGAGGACACGCGTCTCCCTGGGACCCTATAATACTGTGGGCTCACCACGGCTGCTGTATGTTAAATCTCCTGCACCCAGCTCTGGCCCTGAACCTGATACCCTTGCAGCTCCCAGCCCCACTCTGGACAAGGTCCTCGCAGGTGCTCTAATGCAGTAAGGATTGAGGCTCTCGGTTCTTTCATAGAATGGTTGCCAGGTCCCTGGTTTCTTGGTTTGGTTTTGGTTTTTTAGAAGTAGAGTGTGATCTTAGCAAAACTGTAAGAGAGGAAGCATTTCAGCCCCTGAATGATTCTTCCTCAGCTTCCTCAGACAGGTGTGGGCTGGTACTTTGGGCCACTCTCCCCACAATGAACTCGACCCTGCCAAGTTGGCTCTTTGGGGCAGAAACTGGCACCTGTTGTGGAAATGGGCGAGGCTGGGAGCCAGGCTCCTGGACCCTTGAGGGTTCCCCACCCACGCCTCCCTGGGTGCTAACTAGAGAAGCAGCTGAGCCCCAAACCCTCAGATTGACAAGTGGTGCTTCTGCCCTTGCCTTTTGCCTGGACACACTTCCTAGTGGCCCATGATGTCTCTGGGACCTGTTTGGGGCCTACAGGATTGGAGGGGCTACAGTGCCCTCCCGCTATTCCTGCCGGATAACACGGACCCCCCTCAGCATTGCCCGGGCCGCAGGGGGCTGTTATAATGAGGGTGGGCTGCCCTTTCCTGAAGTCCTGTCCCATCCAACCTCAGCGAACCGACGCGCTGGAGCTCCGTGGATGAACTCGCTCAGGGGGTGGTGCCAGGGACACTGCTCTCACCTGGCAGCCCGCTGGACGTGACCTGTCCTGCTCTTGCATCTCAGGGATATTGAATACAAGGAGTTGCAGTTGTCCCTGGACCAGGCGTCGACGTCCAAGTCCCAGGACTCCTGGAGGACTGCCTTGTCTACCTCACAAGAAACTAGGAAATTAGCGAAGCCCAAAAATACAAAGATGAAGACAAAGCTGAGAACAAACCCTTACCCCCCACAGGTAATACGTCCGACGGGCTGGGGCAGGGCACAGCTGACATCTGGCCTGGGAGGGGGCGCTCAGGACACCCGGCCTGTTAAGGAGTGCCCGAGCCTCCGATTGCACAGCAGGTCTCCCGGTCTGGAAGCTTCCCTGTGGCATGCAGCAAAGTCCCTTGGGGGATGTCCTGCCCACGTGTGCACACGCGCAGGCGCGCACACACATGCAGCAGAGATGCAGCCAGGAGGCCCATAAAGCTAACATCTGGGAGGACTCATCAGGTCTAGACTAAAAAGACTAAATCGGGAAGGCCCATCGGCTTGCTCAAATCAACGTTAATGTGGCTCAGAGCACAGTGCTTCCATAGCATTTATATTTTTAATGCAAAACTTCTTTTTTTTTTAAAGTAGTTTGTAACCTCTCAGAAATAGAAAGTGCCCGTGTGCATCTGGTATGTTGTCGGCGTGGGCTGGGGAGATCTCGTTCTACCCAGGGGGTGGGGCGCCCTGGTACCGTTTGCTCTGCACCTGTCCCCGCCGGGACCTCACCTCGGGGGCCGGATCCGGTCCAGCCCAGGGATGCAGTTGAGCCCTGCAGGGTGGGGTCTGGCGAGGCCCGAGGGCGGTTCCTCACTGGCCCCTTCATCCGTCTTCTTTGCCATCCAGCAATACAGCTCGTTCCAAATGGACAAACTGGAATGCAGCCAGCTGGCAAACTGGAGAGCCAGCCCCCCGGCGACCGGCCCGGCACCCCCAGAACAGCAGCTCCATTCAGAAAGCAGCGACCTTTTGTACGCCCCATCCTATAGCCTGCCCTTCTCCTACCATTACGGACACTTCCCTCTGGACTCTCACGTCTTCAGCAGCAAAAAGCCAATGTTGCCGGCCAAATTCGGGCCGCCCCAAGGATCCCCGTGTGAGGTGGCACGCTTTTTCCTGAGCACGCTGCCAGCCGGTGGTGAATGCCAGTGGCATTATGCCAACCCCCTAGTGCCTAGCAGCCCGTCTCCAGCTAAAAACCTTTCTGAGCCGCCAGTGAACAGTGCTCGGCACGGCCTGGTGCCAAACTACGAAGGTAGGTCATGTTTGCACGAGGGGAGAGGGCGGGACGGTGAACAGTGGCGGTGGGTGGCGGATGGAAAAAAGATCCTCACACTTGGGGCAGACTTTTCCTTTTTCTGCTCATAAGTAGGGCTTGCTGTGCTTTCCTGCTCTCAATGGGAGTAGCTTCACGAGAGGGAGAAAAGCAGGGTAACCGCGTCCGGGTGCTTCTCGTGGCACTAGTGACAGTGGAAAGGGCAGAGGAAACCGGGTGTGCAGCCCACTCCCCCCACTCCATAAAAACCCTGGCCTCGTTTGCTCCCTGAGAGGGAGACAAAGTGATTTTCAAAACCAGCTCCCATGCACTGCGAATGCTCCAGCTGCATTTACTTTACAAGATTACTTTCCACTCCGCCCAAAAAAAACGACGATGGGACGCCGTTGGTTTTCTTCCCATGCCAGTTTTCAAAGTGTGGAAAACAGTGGTGGAAATTCATGAGCTCAAAGACAGAAATGCCACTCGCCAACCCAGGGCAAAGAACATGAACACTCTAGGACTCAGTTTCTTCGTCTCTAAAATGGGCTCCCAAGCCATGTGCTATGCCTACCCAGCGCTTGGCACACAGTAGGTGCCTGCCCAGCACTGTTGGTTCAGCAACAGAGAGAGAGAGAGAGAGAGAGAGGGAGGGATGGCCGCTCCACCAGCTCTTGCTGATGGCAGACAAGCAAACGTCTTCTGTGGATGTGTCACCAGCTCCCTCAGGCCCAGACAGACTCCTGTCTGCTCGCTGGACCAGTCCCAGGCAGAGGGGAGGTGGGGGTTGAGGGTTAGCCGGGAGACGTGTACTGCTTTTTCATGCAGATCTAACCACTGCTCGGAGTGTAGATCAAGATGGTGCAAATTTCCTGCAGTGGCCACTGCATTTTGGGGGAAATGTTACATGCCCAGAAAAGAACCACCTGCTGAAAGAGGAGAGCTCTCTGGAGCTCCCCTCCTTGCCCACTCTAACTTTCCCTCTTTTTTTTTTCCCAAAGATTTTATTTATTCATGAGAGAGAGAGAGAGAGAGAGAGAGAGAGAGAGAGGCAGGGACACAGGCAGAGGGAGAAGCCGCTCCATGCGGGGAGCCCGATGTGGGACTCGATCCCAGGACTCCAGGATCAGGCCCTGGGCCGAAGGCAGGCGCAAAACCGCTGAGCCACCCGGGGATCCCTAACTTTCTCTCTTTGGAGGCAGGTCGGGTTCTGTTCCTCCTCGGGCTGCTTGGGGAATCTCTCGCTCGGACTCTGTCCTTACAAGCCTGAGACACATAAACTGGGAGAAAGCTCACCGTCCTGGAGATTACTAGGACGTGGGTTTTGAAAAGTAACCAGCTTAGGAAAGAACATACCAGTACTAGGGCAGTGCAGCCCTCCCTGCCTTTTGGCCTGGGCCAGTCCTCAGAGCCAACAGTTTCTCAGACTTGGAGAGAAAGTCCATCAGTGGATCGGGTTGTGGGTCCCTCAAAAAAACCAAGGAAGGATTTTCCCGGGACCACAACACAGACAAAGCTCAGCATTCTGATAACAGCTGAACCTATTACCCACTTGAGATTGACCTGAAAGAACTCTTCCTTTGTGTGTGGAAGTTGGTCAATGATACAACTAACCCACAGGATTATATATATATATATATATATATATATATATATATATATATATATATATATATTTTTTTTTTTTTAAATCACCATGTTGGGCAGCCTGGGTGGCTCAGCGGTTTAGCGCCGCCTTCAGGGATCGAGTCCCATGTCCAGCTCCCTGCGTGGAGCCTGCTTCTCCCTCTGCCTGTGTCTCTGCCCCCGGGCCCCATGTGTCTCATGAATAAATGAAATCTAAAAAAAAAAAAACCTTTAAAAAAACCCACCATGTTGAAAGCGAAAGAGGTTAATAACCACCTCATTTGTCATACACTTGGTAAAAAAAAAAAAAAAAAAAAAAAAAAAAAGGACCAAACGTGCTAATTTGGGGCAATTTGTGATCTACTTCCTAGTCTTTTGTGATGTTAAAGAAAGACCAAGGTTGTCTTAAGGCAAACAAAAGACAAACAAAAGATAGGGAGCTAATGATTGCAGGTATCTAATTAGTCAGGGTGGCTCTAACTTTAGTTAATATGGCATTAAAAGGAGCAGGGGTGATTACCACCCCATGGGGGAAAAAATGCAAAAGACCCAGGGTTGGTTGACTAGGACCACCTATGCCTCAGGCAGTGGAAGCTCTAGAGCAGCGCTGACCAATGTGATGACCAGCAGCCAGGCGCTTTTTTTTTTTTTTTTTTTTTTTGGTAAGATTTTGTTCATGCGAGACCCAGAGGGAAAGACAGGGACACAGATGGAGGGGGGAGCCCGATGCGCCCCGCAGTCGGCCGCCGCCCCGGTTCCACCTGCTGCTCATGCTCCACGGCGACCTCGGGGGCACCGTGGGGTCGGCCGCCGGGTGGGTGCTGCTGGGGGACCGGGTGGGCGCTGACGGGGGCCGGGTGGGTGCTGCCGGGGAGCCGGGTAGGCGCTGCTCGGGGCCGGGTGGGTGCTGCCGGGGGGCCGGGTGGGCGCTGCTCGGGGCCGGGTGGGTGCTGCTCGGGGGGCCGGGGGGCGCTGCTGGGGGGGTGGGCCAGGTGGGCGCTGCTCGGGGCCGGGTGGGCGCTGCTCGGGGGAGTGGGCCAGGTGGGCGCTGCTCGGGGCCGGGTGGGCGCTGCTGGGGGGGTGGGCCAGGTGGGCGCTACCGGGGGCCGGGTGGGCGCTGCTGGGGGAGTGGGCCAGGTGGGCGCTGCTCGGGGCCGGGTGGGCGCTGCTGGGGGGGTGGGCCAGGTGGGCGCTGCTCGGGGCCGGGTGGGCGCTGCTCGGGGCCGGGTGGGTGCTGCCGGGGGGCCGGGTGGGCGCTGCTCGGGGGGCCGGGGGGCGCTGCTCGGGGCCGGGTGGGCGCTCCAGGGGGGCCGGGGGGGCGCTGCTCGGAGCCGGGTGGGCGCTCCAGGGGGGCCGGGGGGGGGCGCTGCCGGGGGCCGGGTGGGCGCTGCCGGGTGGCCGGGTGGGCGCTGCTCGGGGCCGGGTGGGTGCTGCCGGGGGCCGGGTGGGCGCTGCTCGGGGCCGGGTGGGTGCTGCCGGGGGTCCGGGGGGCGCTGCTCGGGGCCGGGTGGGCGCTGCTCGGGGCCGGGTGGGCCAGGTGGGCGCTGCTGGGGGCCGGGTGGGCGCTGCTGGGGGGGTGGGCCAGGTGGGCGCTGCTCGGGGCCGGGTGGGTGCTGCCGGGGGCCGGGTGGGCGCTGCTCGGGGCCGGGTGGGTGCTGCCGGGGGGCCGGGTGGGCGCTGCTCGGGGCCGGGTGGGTGCTGCCGGGGGCCGGGTGGGCGCTGCTCGGGGGGCCGGGGGGCGCTGCTCGGGGCCGGGTGGGCCAGGTGGGCGCTGCTGGGGGCTGGGTGGGCGCTGCTGGGGGGGTGGGCCAGGTGGGCGCTGCTCGGGGCCGGGTGGGCCAGGTGGGCGCTGCCGGGGGCCGGGTGGGCGCTGCTGGGGGGGTGGGCCAGGTGGGCGCTGCTCGGGGCCGGGTGGGCGCTGCTCGGGGCCGGGTGGGTGCTGCCGGGGGCCGGGTGGGCGCTGCTCGGGGGGCCGGGGGGCGCTGCTCGGGGCCGGGTGGGTGCTGCCGGGGGGGCCGGGGGGGGCGCTGCCGGGGGCCGGGCCCCTTCCTCCCCGCGCGGGCGCCTAACGTGTCGCCTGTCCCCGCAGCGCCCGCCGCCGCGCGCAGGTTCGGCGAGGACACCGCGCCGCCGCCGCCGCCGCCGAGCTTCCCGAGCTGCGGCCACTACCGCGAGGAGCCCGCGCTGGGCCCCGCCAAGGCCGCCCGCCCGGCCGCCCGCGATGGGGCGCGGCTGGCGCTGGCCCGCGCGGCTCCCGACTGCTGCGCGCCGCCGGCCCCCGAGCCCCCGGGCGCGCCTGCGCAGCTGCCCTTCGTGCTGCTCAACTACCACCGCGTGCTGGCCCGGCGCGGGCCGCTGGGGGGCGCTGCGCCCGGCGCGCCCGCCCTCGCCTGCGGCCCCGGCGCCCCCGAGGCGGCGGCCGGCGCGCTGCGGCCCCGGCCCCCCGGCCCCGCCGCCGCCTCCCCGCCCGGGGCGCCGCTGCCGCACTACCTGGGCGCCTCGGTCATCATCACCAACGGCAGGTGACCTCGCGCCGGGCTGCCCGCAGGGAGAAGCCAGAGGCCGGGCCGCAGCGTGCAGCCGAGCTGGAGATGCACGGTTTAAATTAATTTATGCAGAGACGACTATTTTAATAGGACTCGGCGGCCGACGTCCAGATTTTTACGTAGAGCCCCGCAAACGCCGGGGCTGGGGTGGGAGGGCCCGGGTCCGAGCGGGGGGAGGGGGCGCTCAGCTCGGCCCCTCCCCCCGCGACCCCCGCGTGACCTCAAGCTGCAATGCCCCCCCTCCCCGGAGCGCCCCGGCTGCAGCGAGCAGAGCCCACCCTGCTAAGAGCCAGACGGGGGGGGGGCTGGAAGGAAGGGCCCCCCCCGGATTCAGGCCGCTCCGAGTCCCAAGGCCGGGTGTGACGATCGAAGTCCCACGAGCCGACAGCGCACGGCTGACGTCTGCAAAAGCCATGCACGCGTCTCCTGAAAAGCTGTTGTCTTTTTTTTTTTTTTTTTTTTTTTTACCGTTAAGCCTGTTTTCAGTTCCACCATCAGCGAGCCGAGACCAAGGGAGGGAATGCACCCGGGTGTGCTTCGCAAGTTCATTCACGAGCTTTGACTTCCTACCCCCCCCCCGCCCCCCGTGAACTCCTGGTACCACCAAGAATAGCACCTTCAGGATATATCGAATAGGCATTAAATGCAGAAATAGGGAGAGCCAGATATTTTTCTGAGAATGACATGTGGATGATTAGGTGCCCAAGGCGACTGGCTCCCCCTGTCAGGTTTGATTACGAGGCAACATCCCTCTGGCCCACACAGACCTTGTAATTCCCTAGGCTCGTGTTTGCTACTAGAAATGCTAATAAAAGTTAGTTAAATTGCATGTGCAATATGGAGAATTGTCAATGGACTGTGCCCTCGTGGAAGAGAACTCGCTAGAGGGTTGGTAGAGCAATGGTGTATACATTTTCTTCAGCATTTCCTGCATTTCCTGCATAGCAAGAACATGCCCTGTATGTAACAGGTGAACAGAAGTCCTTTTATAAAGCACCAGCAGTGTTTTAAAAAATAAACTTCCATGCATTTTTGTCTTACTCTTCTATTTTTGCTTCAAGATTTCACCATCTAAAAATCCGACCGTGGCTCTGACGGGGATCGGTGCAGTGAGCCGCCGTTCTTTCAATGTGCTCCGCGCTACAAACCCTCCATCATTTCGCTGCTTCGGAAATGGTTTTCTTTTAGGAAACTCTGCGCCCTTCTCAGGGGAAAGGGTTTCTGCAAATGTCTTTTTAATTCGGCGTTCTAGAATCAAAGTGCAATCTATACTTGTTCACAACATGTGAGATGATGGCTTGCCAGCCTGGTGTCACACTGAGGGTCTGCGTCATTCTTAGCAGGGCCTCGGCAGCCTTATGGTAGGGGGTGAAATTTGCAAATTTAGGAACATCTGTGGGGCAGCAAAGGGCTGAGTCAAAAGAATCAAAGGCCAACACCTCTATCCCGCACTTACCTATACCTCATTAGCAGCACTTTGTGCACACAGAAAATAAGCCCGGGGTATTATTTTTTTACGCTCACAAGTCTCGTCATTAAACCACGATTCCTGGAAGGTGCAGGTTTGATGAGCAGATCTCACCTGACATTTTTCAATAAACTACCACAAAATGTGCTGTGTCTACCTTGTTATTAATCGCTGGGGGGCTGCGGTCATGAGTAAACACAAACCATGAAGGCTTTCGAGCAGTTTAAGATCTGAGGGTTACTGTGAAAAAATAAGGCCATTAATAGATTTACAAATGATAACGTAAACAGTCTTAACAAGGAGTGTGCATGTGCTTGAAAAATGAAATGTGTGCGAGGGAAAACTTTGTCTAAACAAACACGGGGGTTTTCAGAGCCTAGAACATGAAGGAAGATTCCTACGCAAGCCAGCTTCCAGGCGGCGGGCAGCCCGGTGCAGAGTTAACAGGAGTTACCATGGAAACCTAATATTGTTACCTCCATCTTTGAGAGTCTGCACATTGAAGCTGGGGATATCATTTCTTGACAACTTCAGTGAGGCTCCAGCAGGGGAAGAGGAAGCATTTTAATAAATATGACTCTCTTTCACACACACACAAAAAAAGAATAAAGAAAAAAATCGTAGTGGGTCCTAACACGTTGACAAAAATGCCAGATCAAACGGATTTGAGAAATAAACCCAGTTCAAGACTTGCTCGGCCCTCCAAGGGGCCTCCCAGGGAAAGGAATTCCTTTATGTTCATGGAAGCCCTTTCTAGAAAAGCCATTCCATTCATACCTTTGTAGAGAAGGGAACAGGGTGTGAAGGCTGAGGAAATCTGCAAGAGCTGAGTATTTTGCACCCCCTTACCCCCCACCCCTTTGTCCCTTTTAAAGTCCTATGGCCATGCCTTCCCCCTTGGTCCCTAAGGGCGGGAGAGGTTTATACGGCCAATGAATCCCGTACAAAGTCTACCCGAAGTTGTAATTTATTGCAACTGTAAGACAGGGTAGACTGGGGGCTGCTACAGATAAAATGGAATAAAAAGAACATTTCAAATAAATGCCGGCAAATGACAGTAGTTTAAAATCTTAGCGCATCGTAGCCCTTGGGTTATCGAAGATGCATTACGCAAGCTGTTCCTAAACTTAAGTAAGATATAGAAGGTTAAAATCTTGGGGAAAAAACTCAAAACACAAATCAAGCAGTTCTTGCAAAAGAATAAGAACAATTCTACAACAACAAAGCCTGTTCTTATAGTAAATATGCTGTTACATGGAATTTATTTTTCAATGAAAAACTTTACATTAAACCGTTTTATTACATTTATTTCTCACCTCAGTTAAAAGGGGTTTTTTTGACCTTGGGTTTTGCTCACTTTCCTTCTTTGGAGTAGTAGTAAGATTTCTCTTTTGTACGACACATAATCCATTTGTCAAAAATAAATCAAAAACAACAAAAACCCCCGAATTCTCAATACTTAGAAATACATACACCTCCCTTACTATGTAAAACTATTTATTTTGTAAAAATGTTTAACTATGAATAAAAATACTGTAACCAAGAGTAGTTGCCTCTTTTTAAAAACGAAACTTGTGGCAAAAATAACAATGAGCCCAAACGGTACAGAAAACCTTAAAGTTTATTTTGGTAGAGTTGCTTTTTTATAGGCATCGGTTTAAAGTAATGACTTTTCTGAGATGGTTCTTGGAAAAGGTAAAAATGCGAAGGTTCACACTTTTTTGCAAATTTCTGATGTGCATAGTAATAACCCAGGTGTTCTGCCTGTGAAGAGTGAACAGATCTTCCAGAAAGCAGGCTGAAAAATGTCTCCCCGCTGCAATCCTGAAACTGCTGGACGAGGCTGGCTTCTCTCCGGGTTCCCAGGCTCCAGGGCCGGGGCAACTGTGTAGGCCACCTCCGGGGCTGTACGTGGAGGGGGGCCCGGGGACTGGAGGCTGCATGCTCTCCCCGCCTGGGCCTGTGCACCCACTGGTTCCCACATAGGGCAAAGTCTGCAGCAGCGAACCCCACCCACTGCCTTGGCCCAGACACCAATCCTTCGACTGTGCCCGCACCCCGTGAAATCGGGGCTGGACACCCAGTGTCCCCAGGTGCTGCTTCGGCAGGGGCCACGGGAAGGCCTTCTGGAAAATAAAATGCGTACTGGAGAAAACTTCCTTCCTGAAACCTCCTTTCAGGGGTTGCTTCCCCACGGCTTCCCCTGAAATCCGCGGCCGGCCTGGAAGGGACAAGGTCTCGCCTTTTAACATGCCCGGGTAGCTGCTCCATGGTGCACAGCCTCTAACCTCGCAGGCAAACCAGATGCCCTGAAGGCGCATGCCCATCCTGAGCTCAGTTGCCACGTTTTTAAGATTAGGAAGAAAATGCAAAGTCCCTGTTAAGACTTTAAAGCTCCTTGAGATCAGAGATTGCCAGGTGCACCAACGCCCCCAATGCGTGAGTGTAGTGTAGCAAGCAGATAATTTCCCTAACGCTAATAGCTCTGGGTGAGATGCTTTTATTCAGCTGGTCTCTATGAAGCAGAATTTCAAAAGTCTTTGGTTCATATGAGGCAACAATCAGGTTTACGGGAAATGTAGCATCTGCTTCAAGTCTCTTTTGTCTCCCTCAAGACAACCGGGTGGCGGCACAAGTCTCAAAGGCACAGGGAAAGCGGTGCGCCCGGAACATCTCCATCTGCGCTGACGTGGCCACACATCATTAGTTTTAATTTACAGAAAGGAAATTAAATGATAACATTTTCCCCCCAAAGCAGAACTGTCTAGAATAGGACTTCAGCTTAAAACAACACATAGCATGTTTTTCATTAAAGAACCCCCCAAAGAAATTCAAACAGTAACAATGGCAGCTCTGAGGGATGACTTGCCTTATATTACAAAGTTTGAGAAATGAGACTTGCAACATTAGCCCAGAGATCTTTCCTCTTGATGATATTTTGCAGATGCCCTCTCAAGGGTGAGTCCATTTGGTGATTTCTGGGGGTGCCGTGGACTTTTGTTTAAACTTGTCACTAATTCCAAAAGAAGACTTGGACACTTAGGAGAGAGCAAGTTTTGTTTTTGGTTTTGTTTTGGTGGTTTTTTTTTTTTTTTTTTTTTTTTTAGAAAAATCATTCTAATTGAAGCCTTATTTGCAAAAATTACTTCTCCGGTTCTTTTAAAATGACATTTCCAAAAACCACACACTGGGTTGGTGTACTTAACTAAACACGCTATTTTCCCCCCTTCCTATGGCGCTGCTTGTGCCTGGCTGAAGGTAGGCAGATTTTTACCTGCCTACCTTTTCCTGAAAGCCACAAGTTTCTGGAATGAGCCTGACTGGGTAAAGCTGGATAAAGATGGTGCTAGTGTATAAGGAGGAGGATCCTGTTCAAAGCTGAGAGCCCCATCAAGTTTTCTTTCCACTACTTTCAGTTGCGACTGGCAGGAAGAGAGAAAAGTGGACAAAAATTGGCCTTTTAAGGACTGAAAAGTAATGTGTGTAATTCACAAGTTCAACGGAGATACGAGTGACATGGAAAAAGCATGGGGTACATCTGGAAATCGCAAATGCATATCAAAAGGTTTCCTTTCTTTTGTTCTTCCGTGGAGACTTTTAGGGCATCAGATCTTGAACATCTTCTTCTAAAGCTTCTCACACACGCACATGCGCGCACACACACACATCCCCCCTCTTCAATGACGGTGTTCAGTATCGGTTGCATTTTGTTTCTTGGCAATTTAGGAAAAGCGGAGCCAACAATTATGACTTACAAACAAAATGCCATGTATTTCTGCATTCTGTGCGCCACATGGTCTTTCAGGAATGCTCCAGATTTCAAAGTGAGCCTACAACTAGCTTAAGAGCGCCCAATCCTCCCTGGGGTGGGGCATGAGTGAGTCTTCGTCTCTGGCTGTTAGGGTCCAATTGTCTACCCCTCACACCCTCACGAGGCCTAATCCACACGTGAAGGATCTTGAACTTGATCCCATCACTTCAGAACATGCAGTAAATTCAAACTTACGGAAAGGGAGCTCGTAAATTACGGCCGACGTAAGTAACTGATTTCCTTTCCAAGGGTCACTGCACCCACACCAGTGACACCAGTCTCTGCAGCCACTGAGGCACGGTTATTGGACCACAAACCACCGGGCCCAGAGTAACGCTCAGAAGTCTTCCATCCCTTTTCTCATTAACAAAAAAAATAAAACAACGACCAAGTGCCAATGTATGTTCCTCTCGGAAAACGCCTCCCTGGACGCTCATAAACAGTGTTACCAAACCTCTACTTCATCGCTGGCCTGGGCCTGGAAGCTTTTTTGGATTTGTTTTTTAATAGTCTGGGAGTGAAGGTCTCCGCTACTGGGGAAACATCTGAATCATACCCTTGCTGTTTTCCAAATAAAAACTTTCTTTGGGGGGCTAGGAGGGGCAATAAACACACATTCGAGCCCAAGAAGGGAGAAGGATTTCACACCTGGGGTCGTGCTTCACCTGAACTAAGTCTTCCGCTGGTCATCCCTGCGCCCCGGGACATCTGCAAACACCAAGTAAAATGGTAATAGACAGAACCAAATTAGGGAATTAAGCAGATTAATTGGAGGGAGGGAACATTCGCCTACAACCCTAAATCAGTTTTCCAGGTCCTGAGGTTAGGAAAAAGCAGCAGGAATTGAACTGGAATGCTTGCTGCGGTGGCTTTGCCCGCCTTCCTGCTGCCCCGTGGCAAGGACAGCGGGCCCCAGGCAAGTGAGCCCCAGGCAGGTGGGTCCCAGGTGGGTGGGCCGCAGGCAGATGGGCCCCACGCAAGTGGGTTCCCAGGTAGGCAGGCCCCAGGTGAGTGGGCCCCAGGCAGGTGGGCCCCAGGCAGGTAGGCCCCAGGGAGGTGGGCCTCAGGCCCTGCTACTGCTGCTTGGGGATGATCAGGTTTCTCAGCATGTCGAAGGAGTTGCCATCGGGATGCACGGTCACCACGTCGCCATTCTCCTGCTGGACTTGAAGGAAGCCAGAGTCATCCAGGCCGACTATCCACACTTCCGGCCCCTCGAGGCCTCCCAGGCGGACCTGCTGGCCACTGGACATAAAGGACAGCAGAGGGTCAGTGAGAAAGGTAATGCGGTGTCTAGAGACAGGTAGCTAAGTCCTTACCCATCTGGCAGAAGGACTGGGGGAGGGGGCCCAGGATGGGGTAGGCGAGATAAAATTCTCTGGCTTCCACTGGTCCTCCGAGAACCGTCTTGATAATTACTAGAATAATCAGGGTGATGGAAATTCCAATAGGGAGTGTGGACTTTCTCCCAACTCCGATCATCTGGATGATGATTTGCACCACTTCCTCACCCTCCAGCACTTTTAAGAACCACTGTGCAATTCTATTTTTTTTTTTTTTGGCTGAGGCTAGGGAAGAAACAGCTAGGTTGGAAAGTTGATTTTCTAGAACGAAGCTGAGTATCATCAACTTCAAGTTAAACTCACTCTAATGCTGCTGCTTTTAATATTTTCCAAATGTACCTGTTGGGTTACATCCTTGTTAGATGATAATAATTATTATTTTAAAAGATTTTATTTATTTACTCATGAGACACACAGAAAGAGGGGCAGAGACATAGGCAGAGGGAGAAGCAGGCTCCCTGTGGGAAGCCTGATGCGGGACTCGATCCCAGGACCCTGGGATCACCTCCTGAGTGGAAGGCAGATGCTCAACCACTGAGCCACCCAGGCATCCCTAAGTAGTTTTTAAAATACAGGATCCACCCCCCACCCCACCCCATGCCAACTCATTTTTATTTGGAATAATTTTAAACCTACAGAAAAGTCGAGAAAATAGTCCAACGATCCCCAGAATTCCCCCTTCACTTATATTCACACCAACTGATAACATTTTCCATATTTGCTTTCTCTCTTCATGCACACACACATGCTTTTTTGCTGACATTTAAAAATAAGTTGCAGGCATCATGACACTTTATACTTAAATACTTCAGCATGTACCTCCTAAGAACAATCTCCCACAAAACCAGAATACCATTATCACCCTCAAGAAATCTAACCTCCACATAATAACACATCTAGTATATAGTTCATGTTTAAATTTCCCCATTGTCCCATTAATATCTTTTGTGGCTCTTTCCTCCCATCCAGGATCTAATTATGAATCACATTTTGCATTTGGTTGTCATGCCTCTTTAATCTCAAACAAATCTCCCACCTTCTTTTTATTATTATTTTTTTTTGTGTGTGTGTTTGAAGACCTCAACATTTCTGAAGTGTAGAGGCCTGCTGGAATACACCAGGGCTTCTCAAGCTTTGGGTGCATGTGGTGGTGGGCAGGCAGGCTGGCCGGGGGTGGAGGGAATGCCCCCCAGAGCATGTTAAAATACAATGCTCAGCCAGCCTCAGAGTTTCTGATTTAGGAGGCCCAGGGTGGAACCTGAGAATGTGCATTTCTAACCAGTTCCCAGGTGAGGGTGCAACTGGCTCCCGGAGATCTCACTTGGAAAACTGTTGTTATCTAGAATGTTCTCCAACTTAAAATTTTGTTTCCTCACATTAGGTTCAGCTTAAGCATGCTGGAAAGCTCTCAGGTGATGTTGTGTCCTTCCCTCGGCATCCCACCAGCAGGCACGGGACGCCCGTTCGTCCTGGTATTGCTGATGGTAACTTGCTCAATGTGGTGGACACCGGTTTTCTCCGTCAGAAAGGTAAAAAGTAATTATCTAGGGGCCCCTGAGGGGTGCACAGTCGGGTTGAGCATCTGACTCTTGGTTTCCGCTCTGATTGTGATCTGAGGGGTGTTGGATGGAGCCCTGCATGGGGCTTTGCGCTCTGCCAGAGTCTGCTTGAGAGTCTCCCTCTCCCTCTGTGCTTCTTCCCCCAGCCCACAAACACACACATTCTCTCTCTAAAACAAATAAATCTAAAAACTTTTTTCTAGACTTGTACTTACTTTCTTGTTTTAAGATACTGAACATTTTAAAAGACATTTTAAAAGAATGAAGACGGATCAGCACTGACCTGTGTACCCAATACTTATAATAAAGGGGAAGAACGCCATTGGGCCCTTTGTCCTGAAACGTGTCGATGAGCTTCTCCAGCACAGTCACAGTTCTGGCGATGAGCTCGTCGGCTCTTAAGGGCTTCAGCTCTGCCTTGTGTTGCTTATTGTATTCTGTGACGAGATCATTGATGCATATGGTAGGGTTACTGTTACTCACGTTAAATCCGCAGCCTGCGCAAAACCAAACAGTTGAAAAACATGAGCATCTCAACCTCTTGAGAACATCACACATTCTTCCCAGCCCCCTGGAAGACGTCACAGCCTTGTTCACTGACTGCCTGCTTCCTTTCTCTCATTGCAAGTTTATCATCTCTGGCCACTTGAAAAGGACTTATCGGGGCACCTGGGTGGTGCAGGGGGTTAAGCTTCTGTCTCTTGGTTTCAGCTCAGATGGTGAGATCAAGCCCTGTGTGGGGCTGCGCAGTCCACACAGAGTCTGCTTAAGATTCTCTCTCTCCCCCTCTGCCACTGCCCATCTCAAATAAATAAATCTAAAAAAAAAAAAAGAAAGAAACAAAGAAAGAAAAGAGAAAAGAGAAAAGAAAAAAAGGAAAGGAAAGGAAGATAAAAAAGAAAAAAGAAAAGAAAAGAAAAGAAAAAAGAAAAGAAAAGACAAGACTTATCTGTTTGGGGCCATCTTCCTTTTCATCACTCCCTTATTATCCTCATTCAAGCTACGACCCCTCCAACCTTGCTGCCAATCGGTCGGGTAAATAAACCAGCTAGATTCGACTCAATTAAACAGAAGCCATGAATGGGGCAAAGCTCCTTGGAGTGACCTCCGAAACAATACCTCATGTGGTCTAGCCAAGAACTGTAGCTCTGCACTGAGCCCAATAGAAAGTAAAATCTCCTGTTCCTTTTCCAACTTGAGTAACAAAACACATGCCTGAAAATAAGAATTTTATTCAAGTCTTAAGGAGTAAACTCTGGATTCAGGGATTTCAAACCTTGGTCATGGCACAACCCTCGGACACAACTTTTAATACTTTATCCCTGGAAGTCTCTGGTGTTACGGTTACGCCACTGGCAAGGGGCCAACCCGTGTTCCGTGGCTCGTGGCTCCCTTGCAGGCTCCCGACCCGGGGCTTCAGGAGAGGGAGTTACCAGCAGAGGGGTTTGAACAGGCTGGTCGCTGCTGTTACTTAATACCACCATCCTCTCCGGGAGAGTCGGAGTCTTCAGGAAGCCAAACCTCAGTTTTCAACAGGGCCCTGAATCAACCTCAAAGAGGGCTTCCATGAGAAATGAAATACTGCAAGCAGTGAGACTTGTTTTCAGGGCCTCTGAGAAAAAAAATCCCCAAATACTCGCCTCAGAGAGAATGATGATATTTATAATAACAGTATTCTTTGGTAAATGTTCTGAGTCATTTTCAGTGTGAAGGGAAGGATTGAATGGCCTCAGATTTAAAAAAATATATATATATATATACTGGCTATTAAAATACAAAGCAATGTAAATTACACCTGGAAAAAAAAAACAAGTAACTATAGTAACAAGGAAGAATCAGCAGTTGTTCACTTGTTCATTCATTCAACTGCACCCACAGTATGGAAGGTAAAGCATTAAATTAAGTGTATATAGTGCTGAAAAATCTCCCTTATGCTCAGAAAATTCAAAGTCCTGGGGAAAACAGCAACACTGAGTACTGCCAACTTAGGCTATGTTAAAGACATTTTTTTAAAAGATTTTATGTATTTATTCATGAGAGACCCAGAGAGAGAGAGAGAGAAAGAGAGGCAGAGACATAGGCAGAGGGAGAAGCAGGCTCCATGCAGGGAGCCCGATGCAGGACTCGATCCTGGGACTCCAGGATCACGCCCTGAGCCAAAGACAGATGCTCAACCACAGAGCCACCCAGGTGCCCCGAGGCTATGTTTTTCCAAGGACCAGAGGGCACCTCTGTTGGGGATCCTAAATCTTTCCCCAAAGACACCTCTTCTCCCCTCATCATCTCCCATGGCCTTAAGAATTTAATAAAAGCCATGAATTCCTTGGTTCCCTGAAGCCATCCCTGGACCTCCTTGATCTCTCTGGGCCCTACTTTGGAATATCTGCAATCTAGCCGAACGAACACATTTAAACATGGGATGCAAAGCTTGGAGGATCTGAAGCCCTTTGCTCAGAATAATATTCCCAGTTGGTAGCAGAGCTTGGAAACATAAGCTTTGCACTTTTTTGGCCGGTGCTTCCAACACACCATCATGTGTTTGCTGCCCGTTACTAATTAATTTCTGAACATTAAGTTCTCCTGGGCATTAGGGAGAAGCTGATGCTTGGATGAGCAGGAGCCTAACAGCTTCTGAAACCGATTCTGAATCCATCTCCTGGTCTGATGTGGATGTGCTGAGCGGAAATGGGATTCTATATCTCACCTTGACCAGCCTGGAGCTGCTTCTGCAGGTCAAAAAGAATTCAACTTTTTCATGGCCTGGGAAAGTCCAATTAAGAATGCAGGACCCCCAGGAGACCAGGAGACCCATCCTTGCAATTCATTTTCTTTTCTTCTTACAAAATGGCATATTAAATGTTTATTTTCACCATTTCTAATTCAACAAGATGCAGGCGTGTGGAGAGGTGTAATAAAAAAAAAAAAACCTGCTTGATGTGATACCAATTTGGTGGTTTCCATGGCCATAGACAGGAACGCTAAACCCCTGGAAGGGCTTTCAACCAATCTGGCCTGTTTTGCATACATATTGTGCTCTGCAACCCAAGACTCAAAGAAAAAGTAATCCCATATGATAATCCACTCTCCTCAACGTGGCCATGTATAAACCATCTTTATTTTTGCTTTTATGAATAAAAAAATGTGGAAACTTTAAAAACTTACCAATAAGTATATAAAATGTTTCTCCCAAAAGCGTCGAGTTAACCAGAACTCCACCAAGCTTCATGAGGTCACTGTAATAAATATCGTTGGGCCACTTCACTCGTAAGCTGATATCCTAAAGGAAAATCTGCACATGAATCAAGCAATCACAGGACACGGAGGGACCAGGAGAGCTCATCCAGCTACAAGGAAGATGAACGGGATAGTCTCGGATCTAACGGAACATTGAGATCTCATCCCCTCTTCTTGCTCTGGCAGCTAATCACTTCTTTGGGACAATCCAGTGGTAAAGGACCACTCTGGGGCTAGGAGAGAGACCTACAGAACACATCTGGCGCAAATCCCAGCACTCTCTCCACATCCCTGCATTGTTCATTATCCCATGACAGGCATAGGTCGTTTTACTGTGTTTCACCGACACCGTGTTTCTTAAAAATTGAAGGTTTGTGGCCACCCTGAGTCGAGCAAGTCTACTGGGGCCCATTTGTCCACGAACATTTGCTCACTTTATGCCTCTGTGTCACATTTTAGCAATTCTTACATTTCAAACTTTTTCAGTATTTGTTAGGGTAATCTGTGTCCAGTGATTAGAACTCGCTGAAAACTCAGATGATGGTTAGCATCACCCAGTGATTCATCAGTGGCATACAACACCCAGCGCTTTTAATTAAGGTGTGTACTTTTTTTTAATTCACCATTTTAATCATTGCACACCTAATAGTACCACAGCATAGTGTGAACTTTTACATGTACCAGGAAACCAAAAACTCCTCTGACTCACATTCTCGTGGGGATTTAGAACCAAACCTGCAACATCTCCAAGGTGTGCCTGTATCAACAGCCACCACCACTGAGTGCCTATCGTGTGCTAGGTGCCGGGGGCAGGGAGACAGGTATACCCTCAGGGAGCTCGTGCTGGAGAGAGAACGAAGCCCTAAATTAACCAATGTCACAAAAGGTGTGTAGAAATGTCTCAAGCTGGGACGCCTGGGTGGCTCAGTGGTTGAGCGTCTGCCTTCGGCTCAGGGCATGATCCTGAGGTCCTGGGATCGAGTCCTGTATCAGGCTCCCTTTGGGGAGCCTGCTTCTCCCTCTGCCTGTGTCTCTGCTTCTCTCTGTGTGTCTCTCATGAATAAATAAATAAAATCTTTTCTATTTTTTTAAAAAAGAAATGTCTCAGGTAGAATCCTAGAGAGATACAGAGAAGGAACATGGTTCCGCTGAATTATATCTGAAGGCCCCAAAGAACTGCCAACAGTCAGCAGGTAACAGAAACAGATTTGTTCTGTGGCTCGCTGCCTCTCCATCCTCGAGCAACCCTGGGCAACCAACCCTGCCTGTGCCCTCCCCCCATCACATCACAGTAGAATGGTCCAGGGGTGGACACTGCCTCGAGCTGGCCCACCCAGACCCCCACCTCCTGCTGTGACTCCAGCGAGGACACAGGGACCGAGTGAGACCCAATGGGTGCCAGGACTGCCAGGCCATACCATGGGTGGGTAGAGGATGAAAATCTGGATATATGGGGCTGGAAAAGAAAGAGACTTGGCAAAATAAAACCAAAAGGTTGCTGCGGAGCTAATGGCCTCCAGTCCCCCAGGGCTGGCTCGTTCTTCACAGAGGGCCAGCCGGGCACGGAGCCCATCTCGGCACTAGTCTGTCTGTTGCTCATACCAAGCCCCCATCCGGGGGGGTACTCGCTTCACCTCTGCTTAATGAGGAAGAAACTGAAGCTGAGAGAGCCTGCTTGGCTTGCCTGAGGTTACACTGGAAAGCAGCAGAGCTGAGAGTCAAACCCAGGGCTTTCTCTCAGTTTAACAAGCGAGGAGGCTACAAGGTCAAAATCAAAGCCAAGAAGAAACTAAACTAATTGAAATTTTAAATTTTATTTTATTATTTTATTTTTTCTTGTTTCCTACTATTTTTTAAAAATTTTTAAAATTTAAATTCAATTAATTAACATATAGTGTAGTATTAGTTTCAGAGGTAGAATTTAGTGATTTATCAGTTGCATAAACACCCAGTGCTTGTCACATCACGTCCCCTCCTTAATGCCCATCACCCCACCTTCCCTCCTGCATGTCCCCACCCCACCTTCCCTCCTGCAACCCTCAGTTTGTTTCCTTATTTTTTTTAAAGAAGATAATAATGCTTTAGAATACTCTGCATGAAATGATTATTTTTTGCATGTTTTTCTTAGCATTGTTCTTTTAAAAATTTTTTTAAATTAAATTCAATTTAGTTAATCTATGGTCTATTATTAGCTTCAGGAGCAGAATTTAGTGATTCATCAGTGACATATGACACCCAGCGCTTGAAGGTCCCTGGAAGGGAGGTGGGTGGGAGGATGGGGTAACTAACTGGGTGACGGGCATTAAGAAGGGCACTTGATGTAAAGTTTTAATTATTTTCCTAAGACTAATGAACCCGCTGCTAGGGTTAAAAATATTTCCCCCCATGACAGAAGTTTATCTTCTCAACTGCCTTCTGTGAGGCAAAGTGCCTAGCTCAGGGGCTGCAGGCCGACCTGTGAAGGTGTGTGACAGTCTGATGAGCCCCAGCCCTGCAGACACAGAGAACAAGGCTGCTGAAAAGCCTGGTGATAAAAGTCGTATTTCAGCATGTGTGCCGGGGACTTGATGGGATTGGGGAAACACATACCACCAGTCCTACGTGCAGTGACCATGAGGACACGACCACAGGGGAGGGGAGGACTGCTTCCCTGTCCAATGCCAAGCAGGCCCCTTTGAAAGTCATGATCTTAGCCTCTTACTTCAGGAATTAATACAATAATTGTGTGCAGCCTGACCAAGAACTGTAGGTGGGAGGGAGGCTGGGGGAGGAACCCCCTCTTTATATCCACGTGAAATTCTTCTAGGAAGGGACACATGGGTGGCTCAGCAGTTGAGCGTCAGGCTTCGGCTCAGGGAGTGATTCCAGGGTCCCCAGATTGGGTCCCGCATCAGGCTCCCTGCCTGCTTCTCCCTCTGCCTGTGTCTCTGCCTCTCTCTCTGGGTCTCTCATGAATAAATAAATAAAATCTTAAAAAAAAAAAAAAGAAATTCGTCCAGGAAAACTACATCCATCGCCCTCTTCCTTTGTCTTCTTCCTACTGACACTGAAGCCTCTGATGGTAACGACGAAGCAGACACCTGTGTCCCTACAGCGGGGAGCAGACACCTCACGTGAACCTGTACATTTCACCCGGGCAGCCACAGGTGAGGCTGGTCCTGCTGGGCACTGACCATGCTAAATGAAGACAGGGCTGAGAAGGTTGTTTAGGCATAAAACAAGCGTTTTCACCAGAAACCCCAACTGGCCTATCCAGCCCAATGTGCTCCAATTAAAGGGGAGGGGGAGAAAAACAAGGAAGACAAAAAAAGAGGCTTGCTCTAAGATGCTTGAGCAATCTAACAACAGCACAGAAAGGGAATTTTGGGAAATCAACCCATCCCAGGCAAGCCCAAGGCCACTCTAAAAGCTGACAGTGCTTTTAAAACTCCAGAAGGTGCCAGCTTTGCAAAGGGCAGGTGACAACTCCACATGCAGCGGTCATTCGGGCAGAGCCACACACCAACCCCATCTGAGACGTGCATGCAGGGGTGGGGATGTAAGATGAGGAAACCGCACATACCTGATACTCAGGAATCGACCTTACTGCCTCCACGACGGCCAGGGACATCAGATGCTGGATGAACGGGATCCTCTGTCCCAGCTGGGATCTCAGTGGGATGGAGATGAGCAGGGTGGACAGCGCGCATCCCATGGGGCTCAGCCAAGCATTCGCTCCCCGCCCTGGAACACAGGCCCCATCAGGAAAGCGGCCACCTCATCCCGTGACCAGAGTCGGACACACAGGATGCCAGAGACTGTGCCCAGGACTCAGAGCCACACGTGGAGTCAACCCACACTGTTGAAGATGCTTGGAGATTTTGGGGTTAACTCAAGAACAGAGAAGCTTTGTAAAATCCGATGCTTTGTTGCTGAACAAATTTCTGGTAAGTAGCGGACTGTCCTGCCTCAGTGAGCCTATCATTTATGCTTTGCTGATGCAAAGTCTAACGTGTCTGAACATGACTGTCAGCTTAATTGTCACCATCTGGTAGCACAGGCAAAAACGGAGACAGTGGGGAAACCGGGCTGGGTCTATCCTGGTCCAGGAGAGGTCCTGGAAGCCACATTCTAGAAGTGGCCCGTACTGGGGTGATGGTCCCACAGCCCTGTGAATATATTAAAACCCCCAGAATTGTACACTTTAAATATGGAAATGTGACGTCCGGTATGTGAATTATATCTCACTGTTACAAGGGGTGAAAAAAAAAGGAAGCTGACTTTAAAAAGTAATCCCTGATATTATCTCTCTGAGCTACTTTTCCTAAAAGAGAAATTGGGAAAATAAAATGATCCAAATGAGAGATATAATCAAAGTTCTTCTATGTCCTTTTTTTTTTTTTAAACCACCATATTAAGCCCTTCAGCTTTGGATAAAATGAATTTTCTCCTTGCGTTAGGTTCAAAAGACATGTTCAAAGGGAAGAAGTGGAAAACAGTGGATTTCTTATTTCATTGCTCCTTCTGAGCAAGGCGTAGAGCCTCTGAGAGTGAAAAGCGTATTTGGGGTGGCCTGGCACCGGTGGGGGCAAGGGCCAAGTGCCTCCTGCAGGACCACTGAGCATGGAGTCTGCTTGCATTTGGACCCCAGGTGGATTCCGGGAGGACGCAGGCTCTCGATTCCAAGGGTCAGCAAGTGGCGGAAGCTCTGAGCAGCCCATGGCTTCTCGGTGGTCACTTTATGAGTGGACACTGACCGCTGGCCAAGTGCCCGCTGCCTGGAACTTCCAGGGCAGCTGGGGTGGGGGCTGGCAGATGAGAGGCCTCTCCACGTGGCACTGAACAGGGGCAGAGAGGGCACCTCCCAGAGAACCTTCGGGCAAATAAATGTCTCTATAGCACAGTAATGATTCACACACTGCAATGCTTAGAATGTGTCAGAAAGAATTTACAAGATGTAGGTGACGGAATGTTAACACCATCCCCAGCGAGAGGGCACCTCGGTGGCTCAGTGGTTGAGCGTCTGCCTTCAGCTCAGGGTGTGATCCCGGGGTCCTGGGATCGAGCCCCACATTGGGCTCTCTGCAGGGAGCCTGTTCTCTCTCTGCCTGTGTCTCTCATGAATAAGCACTGGGTGTTATTCTGTATGTTGGCAAATTGAACACCAATAAAAAATAAATTTATTATTTAAAAAATAAAATCTTAAGTAAAAAAAAAAAACTATCCCCAGCGAATGTCTAGTGATTAATAACCATCTCTATTTGAGTCCTACCAAGACTCTGCCTTCTGATCAATCTCCCTCCCTCTTCCTCCGTTTTAGGGGGTGTGAAAGCAAGCGCTTCTAACCCGAGTCTTCTCCATGATCAGTACACACCCCCAGTGGCCAATCGGGCCACAAGAGTCACAGATTCTAGAAAACACAACAACAGCAACGATAACAAAAGATGACTGACCTTTGCCCTGGGTTTGGCGGACTGCGATGGCAATTAACCCCATTTCCTGCGGGATCTCAAACATCAACCTGCAAATGGTGGGAAAGACTGGTCAGCCAGAACCGGGACATGACAGCAGAGCCTGCAGCCCAGATGAAAGGAGGACCTGTTTGCGCTCACTTGCGGGTGTGCGCGAGTGACAAAGGGCTATCCTCCAGGTGTGGGGGGGGGATACTGACCCCATTCCCAGCCTCTGGAGTGATAACAAAGGAGAAAACACCACTGAATCAAGAAAGACCGCGGTAGGGGGAAGCAGGGGTCCCCGCCTGGGCTGTTAGCTCATTTAAGATGCTGTTAGAGGGGATCCCTGGGTGGTTCAGTGGTTGAGCGCCTGCCTTTGGCCTGGGGTGTGATCCTGGAGACCTGGGATCAAGTCCCGTCAGGCTCCCGGCAGGGAGTCTGTTTCTTCCTCTGCCTGTGTCTCTGCTGCTCTCTGTCTCTCATGAATAAATAAATAAAACCTTAAAAAAAAAAAAATAAGGGCAGCCTTGTGGCTCAGTGGTTTAGCGCCGCCTTTAGCCCAGGGTGTGATCCTGGAGACCTGGGATTGAGTCCCGCGTTGGGCTCCCTGCATGGAGCCTGCTCCTCCTTCTGCCTGTGCTTTTGCCTCTCTCTCTCTCTCTCTCTCTCTCTCTTCTATGTCTCTAATAAATAAATAAAATCTTAAAAAAAAAAAAAAGGCAGCCCCAGTGGCTTAGCAGTTTAGCGCCGTCTTCAGCCCAGGGCGTGATCCTGGAGACCCGGGATCGAATCCCACGACGGGCTCCCTGCATGGAGCCTGCTTCTCCCTCTGCCTGTGTCTCCATCTCTGTCTCTCTCTCCTCTGTCTCTAATAAATAAAAAAATTAAAAAAAAATGCTGTTCAATTCCGTTTCTTTGGAATATCCGATCAAGAAGTCCCGTCTTTCCTTCCGATGTGGCGTCCCTTCTCTGAGTGACAACTGGCAGCTCCTGACATTTGTTTCTACTTATGGTGCATTTCTGTCCAAACACTGGTACATAATCATAACAGAAGTTTCTGATTATTCAGAAAGCCAATATGGTGGCAGTAAAGCTGTTTAAAAGATACACCATCCCCTGAGAACTAATTATGTTTTAACTATAGTAAATAAATCTACACCTTCGGAGAAGTCCGGAGAACCTTGGATCATTTTAGACTCGAGTTCTGCTTTTAAAACGCTCTCATTTAAAAGAACGCAAACTTCCCTTTGGGGATAGGTAGAAAAGTGCCTTATATCTCCACCAAATGAGTCAACATTAACCTCTTTTTTTTTTCCAGAAAAGGAAAAGGGGGAAAAAAATCCCTCACACTGAGAATTTCCTCCCAGCTACTTTCTACATATTTTAACTCTGTGTTAGGAAGGCTTTCCACTGCGTTCCCAGAAGCTGCTGACCAGGTTCTGAGCGGGCATGGTTCATGGTAGGATTTATTAAAGAAAGCCAAAAAAATCAGGTTTGCCCACTGTCGGTGCAGCTGCTGGGGCTCTTGGAAATGCTTCTGGGGGACCAGTGCTGGAGAAGCTATTTGCATGGTGCTTCCAGTAACAGTTTCCAGGGTCCCACAGCAGCCCCTGTGTCAAGGAGAAAGGGCCCTCAAACAAGACCACATGTTCTGGGGGCTCTTTATCTGCTTTTGGGGCTTAGGGGAGGCGGTGGGGTTCTACAAATGGTAAGAGAAGAAACACACTTAAGAACAGAGAGAAGCAACAGTGTCTCCCTGTACATCACTGGCCAGCAGAGTTTGGCACCGGTGTGTGCAGACCCTGGTGACAAAGAGCCCAGAGGACCCCCCTCACTTGCTAAGAAGAGCCTGGCCACATCAGGCGGGGGCCAGTGGGTCCGACAGGCACAGGGCATTCCCAGCAAGCAGGCCGCCCCACCGTCTGTGTGCCAAGCCCACTTCCATCTTACATGAAGCACAGTTCCAGAAGTATTTCTCTTGGACACCATGAATAACCCATTGAGACCGACTGTTCCTATACACCGTGGGGCTCCCAGAATAAAGCGTCCTTTTCTTGGGTTGGACCAGAGGAACACAGAGAAGGAATCTTTGTCCACGCGGGGAGGGAACACTATCTTCTCGGAGCCTCGAGCTCTCCGGAAAGTTCCAGCAACCCCTTACCTGGGCTCCTAGGGCTGCGGTGGCAGCTAACAAACTTTTCCAAGGGAGTGGGCAGGGGGATGATGTGGCCTTTTGTGAGCAGCTTGCAAAAGCCCTCTCAACGGCAGGCGATCTAGGATGTTCTTTAAATAAACATGTAGACAGTAGACGGTCGAGTCTATAGCCAGTGAGGGTGATGGTGGAATTGGGCGAGGGGGTGGGGGAGGTAGAGAAACCAAACACAGACTTCTAGAACAAAGAGAAATGATTAAGGGAACATATGCACTCAACTGTTGGAGGTTTGGCAGCAGTTAACAGGGCATATTGATGAGAAGACGGGAGTTTGTGCAGCTGAAGGCCAAGAGGAAATTTCTGCAAGGAGGGGACAGAGAGGGAGGGAGGTAATGCTCACTTTGAGACAACGAGGGGCCGCCAGATTTATTTGTGCTATCTGAGATAAGTCTGGGGGCCAAACCACACGGCTCACGGTCAACAAAGAATCATTTATGAACTTCACGAATTCTGCATTTCTGAAAATGAAGTCGCCGGAGTGTGCTCGAGCAGAAAGGAGACACCGTAAATGCCTTTCCATCCTGAGCTGATGATGTTCTCACAAAAGGAAACAGAAAAAAGAAAAAGAAAAAAATTGGGGGAGCACTGGGTGGCTCAGCGGTTGAGCGTCTGCCTTGGGCTCAGGGCGTGATCCTGGGATGGAGTCCTGCATCGGGCTCCCCACAGGGAGCCTGTTTCTCCCTCTACCTGTGTCTCTCAGGAATAAATAAATAAAAATCTAAAAACGGGGGGGGGGTTAATCATCAGGTCCCTGCTGCTGTAGATTTTCTTTTCTCTTTTGCAAAGGCTGTGGAATGAAAGGTTTCTATGAATGGCAGCTCAGCGCAGGCCCTCGAGTTTGCTGACGGGGCATGCAGGAAAAGTGCTCCGTTTGCTACTCTCCTCTGCTCCTCTGGAACATCCAGACCCCAAAGGGTCGCTTTGCAAATGTGACCACTTTGGTTCCTGAGGACATCACAGCACCTAGGGGGAGCCCTGCCAGTGCGAACATCCTGGATTTCACCAGGTGGTTGGAATAAAGCTTCCAGGATTAAGACTAAGCTAGAAGCCAGGCCGGTATGACCCTGTGTGAAAATTCTGAATGAACAGAAACTTAAATTCAGACCCAGTCAATCCATTTGGGGGATTCAAACCTACGGCAAGAGTCCACACTCACCACCGTGCTATAAAAGCTAAAATGTGGGAGTAACATTCAGTGTTCGATAGGAGAATGCGGAGTACATTGAGGTATGTGAAGCCAAAGGGATAATTCACGGTCATTAAAAACAAGAGTGATGAAGAGTCTGTGGGAAGCAATGCTTGTGACACTCTACTAAATTTAAAAAGCCATATATAAAAACTACATATACGTTTATTCCACCTACGAAAAATTCATAGAAAATGGAGGGATTGAAATTTACTTAGGCTTTATTTATTAGGTCTTATTAGGGTGATTTTTTTTCTTTATTTTAAAACTTTTCCTTAAGATTAAGTGGTTATCCTTAAAAATTATTCTGAAAAATTCTGGTTAAAAAAAGCAGTTTTTATGTTTAGATATAATATTGGTAATTAATTCTTCATAAATATTTCAAAGAAAAGAATGAAAAGACCTGCTTTAAAATTAAATAAGACAATAAGTGTTACCTACAGCACCTATCATATTAGGAGCAAAAGTTTGTTTTATAGTATTAATGAAGAGAAATTCTTTTTTTTTTTTACAAAGAGAAATTCTTAAAACTAGTCTGTTCATATGCATCAGAGCTTAAAAATTTTATACCTTCTGACCCTATGACCATCCTTCAAGGAATGCATCCTAAGGAGTATTCAGGGAAATGAAATAATTCAGGGGCACAGTGGTTCATCACAGCCTTATAATGTGAAAAATCAGAAACAATACAAAAAAATCATAGCGTCCCTGCATGAACAACTCCCACGTAGCCATCTGTGGTAGAGGCAAACGTCCACTGGACTCCATCAGGTAGGTGATTTAATCACAAGCCAAATCCCTATACACAGCACGATTCTAATGATGTTTTAAAATCTGCTTTTTAAAACTGTTAAGCAATACAGCACCATATCAGCTCTGGTTATTTTGAGGAATGTAATTATTTGAAAAACTACGGAAAAGTACAAAGCAGAAAATAAGTCCCTCTTTTCATTAAAAGTGTATATCCTTCTGGACTTTTTCCCCTTTTAACAAATACACGGATATATTTTACAAAATAGGTTTCTGATGATTGGGGAAATTCTTTACTGTGGAGCTATTAAAATGATGTTGTGGATGCATAGTTATGGACTTTTTTAAAAAAGATTTTATTTATTTATTTGAGAGCGAGAGAAAGCACAAGCAGGGAGAGATGGAGAAGCAGGCTTGCCGTGGAACAGAGAGCCCCATGGGCCCAATTCCAGGACCCTGGGATCATGCCCCAAGTCGAAGGCAGATGCTTAACCTACTGAGCCACCCAGGAGCCTTAGTTAGGGGACATTCTTATTACACTGATAACTTGAAACATTTGAAAACAGCATGTCTGGTCTCATTTATGTAAGCTGTTCATGTGCATTTATAGAATACAGGACATACATCCACAGTGGTTGCTGTCCCCAGAAGCTGGAGGTCCTTACACCTGTCCCATTCAGTCTTTGGGAGGTAAGACTGCAAGCGGCTATTATTGTCTCCCTTACACTTTCCTGAATTTTCCAGTATTTCTACACTTGGAGTGGATTCATTTTATAATCAGGAAAAATGCTATATTTTTAAAAAGATATTTCTTTACACTCGACTCTGCTTTAAGTAGGGTAAGCATGCAACCGCCAGCTCACTGGCTGAACAAGCTCTTCCTTTTGAGAGATGATAGTTTTGCAACACAAGGGCAGCCG